TCATTTGATAATGGAGTTCATTGTTTTCAGTGTTAGCTTCTTTTTTCATGAAAATTTCCTCTATTATACCAAGCAGATTAATGTTCTCGAAATCGTATGATTCCTATAAACTGGATCCCTTTCTGTTCGAGTGCGGCAACCAGTTTACACTGAAGCGCACGACTTGGAGCGAAGATTGTTTAAGTTGAAAATTAATAAGAACTGTTCTGATTCTTAGAAATGATAAAAAAAAAATAAATAGAGACAAAAAATCTAAGTTAATTAATTAGCAACATGTTGCAAGAGAGATACGTCTTCGAAGTAAAATCGCATAATTGAATAAAATCGCGTATTCTGATTGGTTAACGAAGCTAGGTATTTAGTGTGAAAGTCCGAATTGAAATCGAGGCTATTTCGTAAGTGGTATTGTTTCGCATCTATTAATTTGAACCTAGGATAAAAACAAACACTGTTATTACTGTTTTCTCCTTTCCTTATTTTTATTCAGTTATGCAATTTAAGGAAAAGCCATCACATAACTCGTGAATTCAGTGTTAAATTGCACGCTTCGCGATTTGTGCGAGATCGGTTTTCGTGTGGAATTTAAAGCGAAATTTCCTCGTCTAGTAATTAATTTTCCTATTCAATTGAAGGAGGAATTTCTAACCTATTTCTAACTTACTGCTCCTATTCTTAATCTAGATGCGTTTCCTGGATTGTAGATCTGGCGCCAAAACTCCATCCAAATCTCTGTTAGATGTAGGAGTTGAAGACGCCATAAATGCGAGTGGATTCGATGAAGAGATGTTCTTGAGACGAGGGGGAAAATACACGTGGAGCAAAGCTGACATGAATCTGGAATGGTAGCCTAATGTAACACAGCGGTCATACGTCGGGCATGCGCGCGGGATCAATTCTTGCTGGCCGTGCGCGAATTTCCCGCGCAAAAGTTCACTGGGAAAAATAAGAAATGGCCATTGCCTCTAAATAGACGGTGGATAATTGAAACGTTCATAGAAATCTGTAAAAAGAAACCAAATTTGGGAAAAGGAATTTTCGACACTCCCTGCTTTCCCCCCCCCCCTTCCCCAAAGCTTTTGTAAATTTTCAATTTCAATTTTCAATTTATTTATACTAATAGATTTACAGTTTGGCATCTACTGGTCGCAGATAGCAACAGCTAGTCGAGGCGAGCAGTAGTTTCACGGAGATTAATACAAATTTTACTGAAACAAATTACAGAGAATAAATGAACAATATACACATGCTAGTTACAATCATAAGAGTTCTAAGATGAGAAGTTACAACTTCCAAATGGAAACAATAGTTTCTATGAAGGAAAAAAAAAAACCTCGCTGCATATTAAACGAGTGTGAGCATTTGCTAATGGTATTTCAGTTTTTCAAGTTTTGTCTTTTTTCATTTTTGGATAAATTTGTTATTTTACGTTTGGATATTTTTTCATATTTTGTTTGTCTTTGTACTCATTCTCAGCTAAGTTCTGTTGAAAGATTTTGCCAGTATAGCGATAACCTACTTTTGGTTTCCTGCGTGATCTAATTAATAAAGTGTTGAATTAGTTACAAAATAGAGAGTGTTTTCACAGGAAGCCACGGCCGCCCTTTTGGTATTCCTTATCAATGATCTATTTTTAGTGCAAACTCTTTCTTTTTTTTCAATAATGAAACAAGATAGNATGCCCAAGACAAGTAAAATATCACGCGATATTTGTGCTCCAGAGAACCGGTTAGACAGGTTTTCTTGCATCGCGCAAGCGACGAATTGGATTAAAGTCACAAAAAAAATTGGTGGACAATTTACTAGTCATTCATTTCTGCTGACGACGAAGTGTCGGAATGGCTAGCGAATATTGATCCAAGTTCATTAGATAAATCAAACGTAGAAAAGCAGTTAGACGACAATAAAATTTCATCATTTATTGAAGAAAATAGAAACAGCAACACGACAACGCGCCAATTCCGTTACGCTGCGCATACTTCTGTCACGCATTCCCCGTAAACAAATATCCGCGAAATTCGCCCGCACTGAAATAACAATTTGGCGTGTTGGATAATAAATAACTTATTAGACGTTTTGGTGTGTCGTATCACTGAGTATTTTGACTCGTTATTTGTATTTTAGATCGCCCTACGGGCTCGTCAAAATACGGCACGACTCGTAAAAATATTCAGCGATACTACATTTATTGTATGCTGGCAGCGCCCGCGGACAAGATGGAGTAAATCCTGTTTTCTGATTGGCTACCCGAGCGGGCTCTCATCTTGCCCTCTCGTGATTGCACACTATAATTCCGCGCAAGAAAAAAATGTGCAAGAAGCGAACTTACAAATTTCGTAACTATTGGACAATGTCGGGGATGAATTCGCAAAAAGCAGAAGACAGTCAAAAAACATAAACTACTTTAATGGGTTTATTGTGCTACAACAAAAATAGATGGCTTTCTCTTCTGGCTCTCTAAATAAACTAGTCATTCTTGATTCTTAATGTAGCGAAATCTTTTTGCTATTCGTAAATCCTCTATTGACCAAGCTTGTTCGGTCAAGATGGCTGGATATTAGCCTCGTTCGCAAAACGCAAAACAAAACAAAAAACGAAAAAAAAAAAAAAGAAAAAAGAATTTGGGCACTATCCTGCCATCTTGACCTCACGCTTGGTCAATGACGCAAATATATTCGTCCACACCCATTACTTTCGCCTATAAATTGCAACTACCATGGCACGCCCACCATTTCAAATTTCAATCATTTGGTCAACTTATATGCGAAAATTGTTCGACTGCAAAGAGATGCTGGGAAGGAATGCAGAAAATTACGTCTTGATAATTGCCACGGTAACACCGTCGGAATGTTTTAGGATGGTCCAACTGTAAAATTTTGACACGACCTGGTCAAGACTGTAAAAACTGTCAGGTATCCTAATGTTCCTCAAAACAAAAAAACTCAGAAAAAGCGAAGCAAAAGAGTTCAGACTATCAATTTTAATAACATGATACTGGAAAATTACTATCACTCGTAATATTCAATTACATGGAGCTCAACAAACGAGATCTTGGTCTACTTAGATTTGTGAAGAAATCTTCTTCAGTGATTCACTATAAATTTCGCCAACTCAGAAAATCAGAACGGGTTAAAATAAAACCTAAACCTGGGTACCACTGATTTCAGTCTTGCATCTGATTGGTCCAAAGGGTTTACGCGAATTTCCGAAACCAAATACAACAGAAGCAATGCGCTTCCGATGTACATTTGCAACTCGATTGAAAATTGGTCCAAGCAATTTCTCCACTTCAAATTTCACGGATCATATTTCCTGGTATTAACTAAACAGTATGGAACAATGGAACATAGGCACAATTCTTTTAAATGACTGTCGTAATCATCGTTTGAAAAGTAAAACATTTTACACCGATCACAATAATGTCTTTCCCAAAAAAGGCAAGTAAGCTACATCATATCCAGGGCGACCACCACCACGGCACACACAGTGTCATCCTGTGTTTCTTGGTTTTGCAGGTTTTCGTCCGCTTCTTCTGTGTGTACTGTGTAACTTAAAGGATTATTTTCGGTGTGTACTCTGGAATGTCGGCGAAGTTGGCTTGAGTTGGTGTAAATCTTGTGACAATGCTGGCACTTGAAAAGGTTCTCCCCCGTGTGTAGTCTGATATGTTGACGAAGCTGCCCCCCTTGTGTGTAAGACTTGTCACAATATTTGCACTTGAAAGGCTTCTCGCCCGAATGCACCGTGCCATGGCGCCGAAGATCTGCTGCGCGAGTGAAACCTTTTTCACACTGGCTGCATTTAAAAGGCTTTTCTCCTGTGTGTGTTTGGACATGTCGATTAAGGTTTACTGATCGGGTGAAACATTTGTCACAGATCTCACATTTAAAAGGCGGCTTTGCTCCAGTATGCACGGTTTTATTTCGGCGAGGAGGTGCAGCATTGCCTTCCTCTAGTTCCGCGTGTACTGTGGCAACATGTTGGGGAAGATCTGTTCCTTGGCTAAAACACTTGACACGATGCGAGCATTTAAAAGGCTTCTCTCCACGGTGTTCTTTAACATGTTGCTGAAGGTGACCTTCTCGGAAAAAAGACTCCTCGCACTCAAACGGCTTTTCCCTTGTGTGTGTTTTGACATGTTGGCGAAGGGTTCCATATTCTTTAAAACATTTGCCGCACTCAGTGCACTGGTGGGGCTTTTCACTGGCATGTACTGCGCTGTGACGGCGAAGGTCCCAAGCTCGACCGAAGCATTTTTCACACTGGTCACACTTGTAAGGTTTTTCACCCGTATGTACACTGGTATGAAGGCGGAGGTGACTCGAGTTCGTGAAACACTTGTCGCAATGCCGACACTTGAAAAGATTCTCTCCGGTGTGAAGTCTGAGATGTAAGCGAAGTTGTCCTCCTTGTGTAAAACACTTGTCACAATGGTCACACTTGAAAGGTTTCTCGCCCGAATGCACCGTGCCATGGCGGCGAAGATCTGCTGCGCGAGTGAAACATTTTTCACACTGGCTGCATTTAAAAGGCTTTTCTCCTGTGTGTGTTTGGACATGTCGATTGAGGTTTACTGATCGGTTAAAACATCTGTTGCAAACCTTACACTTATACGGCTTCTCTCCCGTGTGAACGGTTTTATGTCGGCGAAGGGTTGCAGCATCACTGAAACACCTATCGCATTGCGTGCATTCAAAAGGCTTTTCTCCTGTGTGTATCCTGTTATGTTGGTTTCGGTTCCCAAGAGTAGAAAAACGCTGGTCACAAACGTTGCATTTATAGGGTTTTTCTCCGGTATGCGTCCTACTATGAGTATGAAGGATTCCTGAATGATTGAAACACTTATCACACACTTTGCACTTAAAGGGTTTTTCTCCTGTGTGTGTCCTGTTATGAAGGTGGAGGTTCGATAGCTGACTAAAACACTTGTCACAATGGCTGCACTTGAAAGGCTTTTCTCCTGTATGAACTCGGACATGTCGCGATAGTTGTTCTCCCTGTCTAAAACTCATTTCACAATGCTTGCACTTGTACGGTTTTTCTCCAGTATGCAGTCTCCTGTGTTGAATAAGGGTTCCTGCGTGTCTGAAACACTTGTCACAATGGCTGCACTTAAAAGGTTTTTCTCCCGTGTGTATTCTTACATGCTGACGGAGGATTTCCCCTCGGGTAAAACTTTTGTCGCAATGTGAGCAATCAAACTTCCTTTCACCTCTGGTCTTTCTTGTAGAACGGACCGACTGTCCATTGTCTTCATGACGGTTAAGAGACATCTCGATTTGGCGTCTTGCCTGTAACACAATTACAGAATAAAATTTAAATGAGTATCGCAAGATTATTAAAAGAGAGTTATCCTGTCGCATCAATCTAATACAGTTAATACTGAGGTATGATAACTTTAGATTGCAGGCAACTTCTTTTTTTCTTTTGTGCACTACTTCTTTGAGAGCTCGACATTACAATTTCACCACCTCTATTACATGAACAGCTACGGTGTTGAATAAGGATTTTCAGCGCTAAGAAATGCTGAAACTACACACGTGTAAAATCACCATAATTTTCTATGCGTGTTTGATAGCGCCAATCAGCTGCTGACACTTCACTCCCTTTCGCGCCACTCAATCAAGTTGAAGAATAAATGGAAAAGTGCTCACCACGCTTCACTCATCATTAAAGTACTCTTATATAATAAAAATAATGCACGAATGCGTGTAGACATAAAACTTTTCTTCTCGTGTTCAACTCGATATCTCACCCGTTCGCTGCACTCCCTTGTGAGATATCGAGTGGAACACTCAAAGAGAAATTCCACATCCACGTATGCCCATGCTTTTTTCTCTATTTATTTACAATATCACTTTTATTCTTATTATTGTCGTTGACATTGCCATTACTTGTGCCATTGTTACAGTTATTATTACTATTGTTATAACTATTATCACCATCATCATTGTCATTTTTACGACTGTAATCATCGTTATTGTTATTGTGCATTGAAAGCTCTCTCTGTGTTATGTGAAAAATATACACCCAGAAAAATTAAACTTATTTCAGAGACTCAAGTGGTTGGGTGGAGGCATGTAATCTGACATTGAAAAGATACCAGAGAGGTAGGTGGAGTACAACAGGCCAATATGCAAAGAGATGATGCTTCAGTAACGTGTAGACAGAGAAAAAATGATATTATTTGAAAAAGTTAAAATGAATCTGTTAAGGAGGTTGAAATGGGAATAGGGAGACAATGAGTTTATGATAATTAGTTCTATAAATATCAAATGAATAAAGGCTGATAGTTTCTAAAGAAACTGTATGGGGCTGCGTCGGTGGGGGTAACGAAATAATTTGAATGTATCAACAAAGTTGAAATGGTAAATTGGCCACCGTTACGGTTACAAAAGCTGACGTTTCGAGCGTTAGCCCTTCGTCGCTCCGACGAAGGGCTAACGCTCGAAACGTCTGCTTTTACAACCGTAACGGTGGCCAATTTACCATTTCAACTTTGTTGATACATCCAAACTAAAAATATCAAAGCTATCTTCGCAGTAATGAACACTACCTGAGAAGCAGTGAAAATGTCGGCCTGATATGTTGTCAAACCACTAATTAAACTCTAATCCCTCTGAACTCTCAGAGATACAGCTGTACGGATTCCAAATGTTTAAATGATTTCAACACATACCGGTATAAAATATTAAAAGATAATTTCTTCCCTACAGTCTGAGTAAATCTACTGTTCATGTAAATCTGTTCAGGTAACTCTACTGTCCATGTATAGGTTATGCAATGAAGGGTGAGAGAATGTTCATGAATATGGACATTTGCAGGTGTAAAACATTGAAGTCTATCTTTTTCTTGTAGCCCTTTTAAGGTGATTCCTCAGTATTGCACAATGCATCCAGTACTGCTCATTAAAATAAAAAAAAATTGAGCGTAAGCATATTACATTACTTACTGAACCAATAAAACAAAGAATGTGATTAGTGCAAACACAGGCAGATATGGGGTGAGTTTGGTCCATCTTATCTTTCCAACAAGCATGGTGACCTGCATTGTATCTGTCTTATTATTAAAAACTGAATCATTGGATATTGCAATTCAAGACTTTTTATTGGCTTAACCATTAATGTATATGAGCCAATATACCATAATCTAATATCTGTACATTGTAACATCTGGTTTCTTCTTACAAAATAAAGTTGTGAAGATTTGTCTAATATCTTGGGAGCGTTTTTTTTTTTCATAAAACAATTATTCCACTTGCGCTTGTTGGATTATAGCCAACTCAGCACTACGCGCCTTGTTGGCTATCCATCATCTCATATCCAACACGGGCTAGTGGGATAATTGTTAATTGTATTTTTCAAACAGACAATGGTAGGGAAAATTTAATGAAAGTTAAAAGAAAAACTTAACTCCCATGATAGACCAAGACAGAATTTCTCCTTTGAATATCAATACAATATCAAGCAGACAAGTGATAAAAATACAGAAAAACACAACTTAGGGGATCACTAATTGATCCAATTTTACCAAATTCTCACACTAATTTCATAAGAATTTTTTAACAGATAGTAGTGTGAATTACTTCTGAGATCTTGGAGAAGAGGAGAGGATTAAGCAGACATGGAAAACAAGCAAGTACAAACTAGGATTTGAAGTTATTCTTCTCATATGGTCTCTAAAATAAGCACCAGGCATAAGGAAGTTTGTACACTATAAGCAGTTCCTCTTATTCTGCAGTCCCTTGTGGGAGTGAAAATAACTCAGTGAAAAACAAAATTGATGTTAGTGCACCATGGGGAGCTCTTGGAGTGATGTTGATGCATTGCAGGAACTCCACCAGTAAGGCACTTGAAAAGTAGGGATTACAGACTATGCCCAAGATTTTGACCTTGCACAGCTGAATGGTTTTCAGCCATCAAATTGTTATCTCAATTAGGTGTAACCAATGAGATTCCTTATCTTAAGAACCAGTCAATCTTCATGTTATCATAATATACAGGTGATTGCACAAAATTAAACCTTTTCAAATTTCCAGGCACACAATAAACTTATAATCTGTAAAATATTTCAGTAACAAAAACTCCTAAGAAGATAATTAAGATGGGCAGGCTGGCCAAGGAGCCATTGCAGAATGAAAGAGAGGAACTGCTCATAGTCGAGGTGTTTTGAGCTTTGAGAGTTGATAACAAAGTGACCAAATGCAGATTATGTTTTTTTTTTTTTGCGAGAGGTCTTGGCAAATCAGCACCAAAGTGAAAACAGAGATGACAAAACAATGTCAGGACAGAGGGAAACAGAGATAAAATGATTCCACCTTTGACTTCCATGAGTGACAAATACAAAATGATATCAAACAGACAACTGATGAGAATAAAGAAAATATATGTTAAGGGATTTATAGTTGGTCCAATAGCAAATTCTCCAAACTTACATCACAAGAATTCTATGGCAGGAAGTAAGGCAATTACTGATAAGATCTTAACAGTATAAGGGTTAAAGTGACTTATTTGATAAAGTCACCATGAAGTGGTAGAGAAAGAGAAATTTGCACCAATATCTGGTCAAGACAGAACTAAGTAAGGTCTGTGCTTGACACAAATTTTAAGGAAAAATTCAAAGGCAGCAAAATTTACTGTCTGGGGTAATACTTAAACAGATTGAAATAGGATTTGCTTCAGATGCCTTTTGAACAGCACATTTTCTTCCTTGCATGCACGTCAAAATTTAGTTCTGACACAGGCATTTGAATAAGTGCTAGACTTGCATATACCTGCACGTATGTGCAGTGATGTTGGTCAAGGTGGTCTTCTTCAGTGGCTGCATATCTAACTTTTCGTTAAAAAATATATATTTGCGGAAAATAGATGTCACCGCTAGTTTTCTTCAGAAACTGTTACACTTTTCACTGGGTTATTTCCTTGTGCTGCAATTCGGTTATTTACTATACATAATTTCCATGGCTGAGTAAAGAACACACATTAGGAAAACAGTAGTTTTTAGTACTATCTAAGGCTTGCAGGAAAGTAAATTGTGATTTCCTGATAAAAAAGCACGATGGGCACCCAACCCTTACCTCATTATTTTGATAACAATTACAAACGCCTGTAATGAAGCCTGATTTCAAGATCGGCAGAGGTGTTTTGATTATCTTGCTCTGTACAATGTACACACAGAACCATACCTTAATTTCCAGACTTCAGCTACATAGCACTTTAAGATTGACTTCCCTAGCCTAGATAAGCATGTCTTACCTGCTCGAAATAAACACCGAATAAATCTCTCAAGGAGTCGAGCGCAGGCAAAGTGTGGCATGCCAAACAAAAATGGCGGCACATCACGCTAGTGTTCAGTCTCCTCTCGACTTACCATTAGCCCGCGTGGAGCAACGTGGAGATCGCGTGCAATAAACGCCGCTAAGGAATGCGAGAAGTGGAGAAGGAAAAAGGTGACAATCTTAAAGATTCGAAAACGCGGGACTTAATCGTCTCTACGTTTGATATATTTTTTCAAAGACAACTTATTTACTGAGTCAGGACACGAGAATAAAAGATTAAAACCGATAAATGTACTACTGCAAGACTTAAACAGATTTTCTGTCCTGAAGCTTTTTACCGCTTTTTATCGTGTATGCTATATCTACAGGTTACTTCATGGTCAGCGTTTTTTATATACTATCTAGAGATTTGAAAAGCAGGTCACGATGGTTATTACTTGGATCTGCAGAGACCAGCCCGTTATCAGCCAGTGTGCATTTGGGCTCCCCGGGTTTCATTATAAGGTTACAACCTTTTAATCACAAATAATGAGGTCTTGCAGTTAATGGGTCTTAGTAATGTGTCACGATTGACAATCCTTTCACACAAAAAAATCAGTTTGGAGAGTTTTCTTTTTCAGAACAAATCCTCACTTTCGCTTATCATTTTGTCGTTTGTTACTTCGTGTCTTATTTTTATTCAATACATTTTAAGAATCTGGTCCCGGTACATCAAAAAAGGACAAATCCTTCAATTTGCAGAGTTCATGTGAACCTATGGTCTGTAATGATTAATTTGAAAAATCCGGACTGGCAATTAATCCAAGGGCCAGTTATTTTTTTTATAGAAATGCAAAGTTAATTTAGCTCGCTCTTTTGTTATGAGCAATCAAATTGTGTTTGCACGAGTCGTTCCGGCGGAATCCAGCGAGAAAGTTATTGGACGGAAGTCAAAACGCAAACAATCATTCACTCAGAATATTCAACCTTGTGATTATTTTAAGAGAACGGGTCATGAGAGAAACAAACATAGATGCATTTTAAATTACATTTAGCTCTTGGTGTCAATGATGGTACAAAAAAATTTGTAAAGTTTACAAAATTACAAAAAACTATTAATTGAAGTCCTATCAAGAAACACTACGAATGAATTGTATTTATACTTTTATTCATTTTCCTGATAGTAGCAGTGATGACACACCTTCTGTTTTTTGAAGAAAGTCAGTTGAGATCATGAGATAACTTACATCTTTCATCTCCCCGACGTTTTGCAAGAATACAGATCGATTGAAAAATTCACCTCTCAAAAAAATGTTCAGCAACTCTAGTATAATTTCCCAGCATCAAAGCAGCTTGTTCACGCCGTGCACCTCACATATTTTTAACAAAGACAGGAATGACTCTTTCCCTCGCCTCGTTTCCTTCTCGACATCTTTTACCATCGCTTTACTCTCACCTGTAGCAGTGGCGGGAAATGCGTTGATTTTGGCGGCGGTATGGAGGAAGAATTTCATGCGAACACCATTTTGTATGCTGCTGAGTGGTTTGGCTTTCACTGATTTGTGTACGGGAATCATCGCCCAACCTTTCTATTCCGTGACGTTTTTGACGTTTTTTTCCGTGACGTTTTTGTGACGGTGCCACAGCTCAACTTCAGCATGACGTATAAAAGTAGCGTTGAGTTTCAAATGGAAATTAAAATAATTTGCCGTCGCGGTTTCGCTTCGCAGACGACGCAAATTTTGGCGATTTCACGTTGTTGTTTTGCATAGGACGGCTAAGAAATGTACAAAGTTTCAAAACGCACGTGCTGAGCTATTGTTCTGCCAATTAGATCTCTTGTTTTTCCACGTCCTCGTTGCCGTCGCAGTCGTGGTTGCGTGAGGTCCCTACTTTTATTTCATTACATGTCCAACTAACTCAAAGAACACATCCGTGATGTAAAAATGTTTAACTCATGAAAGGCTCCATTGGTTCAGCCAATTTTAGCGCTTATTTTTGTTAGTCATTTCAAACTAACGTTTTTAAGCAAGGTTATTACTTGTAGATGTTTTATCTCAAAAAGTATCAGATGAAAAAACTCAGAAATTGCAAAGCATTCATTTTATTACACTTTCCAGGCTTTCTCGAGTGAGCGTCATTAAGACTTGCGATATGTTTAAATGATTGAGCTTACTGCGAGTAGCCAAGTTCCCCAAGGTGTAAACCTAATGTTTGAAAATGTTATTGTAAAGAAAAGACGAAAAAGAATTGAAAATAACAGTTTAGAGCCTGTTAGTTAGAGGGAGAACACCAAACTTTGTCTTGAAAACGGAATTCTCTGCTTAACTTAGGTTATTGTACGAAGTGCTTTTTCCATGTGATCATCGTAATGCTTTTGCAAGGAGTCCTCCGTGCGAAATAACTTCTGACAAATCCAGCAGCTAAACTCTCCACCCAAATGTACTTTGTTATGAAGGTGAAGGGTTTCAGCTCGGCCAAAGGACTTGTGACAAACCTTACACTTAAAAGGCTTTTCTCCTGTATGTACCCTGATGTCTTTATCGCGGCTCGTTCATCGACATTTTCATGCAATTCATGTTTTGAACGGTCAAAAAGATACTTTTACTATCTATGAAAATTATGCAAATGAGCTTTAACAACAGTGCCAAGCGAGTTAGTGTAGCTCGTTTCAAAACACTCTTTCTATTCCAGCTTTAAACCGCCAACGCAGTTGTATAAGTCCAAGGCTTAAACGACTTCAGCGGTAGCAAAGGAGGGTTCCCAATTCCGTTTCAGGAACAAATTTTAGAAAAATTCACGCGTAACGTATAAAAGGGAAAATTTCAAGTATTTCTTCGTGTGTACAAATTTTCCGGGAAATCTTGAGGTGTTCACGAGCTGAAAGAAAAACTCAAAGGTCATAAATATATTTCACGCTGCTTCTTAAAATCTTTGCTTCCTTCAACTTCACCTTAATCGATGGCGTCTTAAAAATCAGCCTGCAAATCAGTTTGGTTCGATATTTTTAATCCGTGTAAATCTCCTCAAAGTTTAGCCATCCATGTTGCCCAATGTTTTATTTTCACATGGTTAATGTCTGTCAGCTCTGTAGAGCGTTTCCCTTTACTCCGGGAAAATTCTCTGCACCATGAAATGGACTCGCAAAGGCGTGACGTACTTCCTGTAAGGTAACTGTCCGGCTGGTGATGTAATGGTGACTCATAATGTAACTAAAATAGACATATACTGCTTTAGCCATCCAATGTTTTATTTTCACATGGTTAATGTCTGTCAGCTCTGTAGAGCGTTTCCCTTTACTCCGGGAAAATTCTCTGCACCATGAAATGGACTCGCAAAGGCGTGACGTACTTCCTGTAAGGTAACTGTCCGGGTGGTGATGTAATGGTGACTCATAATGTAACTAAAATAGACATATACTGCTGATTCTAATTATAAACAAGGCTCCTTCGCGTTAAAAAGCAAAAAGGTGTGCAAAGCTAAAGTCGTGGTGAGTACGATGTTTGATTATTATATCATTAATTAGTTGAACGTGCTCTGTTATCAGTTTTACAATACATATTTCAATGTCTCGGTAATTAGAGCTGCCCTTACATAGGCAAATCATGAATTGATTCATGTAATAAATATAATGAAAAACTATAGGGGAAAGTAGTTCTGAATGAATTACCTTTGTCATTAAGATCAATCTTAGTTCGAAAGGTGAAAAAAATCTCTTGCATGGTGAGAATCGAGGGCATTTAACTCAGTAGTTCTGCCATGTTGAGTCAAATTCATTTCATAAATTAATATTGAGCGACTGGATAAACGATCAAAACGCCTATGTAAAGTTAATCCTACAGACATGCTTATTCCGTGCCTAGAAAAAACGCCCTAAGAATTTTGCAAATGTGAAATATACCCAACACGTTTAAATTTTACACTCTGTGTCAGTTATCTTCGGAAAAACCGGGCCAATGTTTAGATTCAGAAAGACGGAATCGTGAGGTGAAATATGACCATTTGAAATTGAAATGTTTCTTTCTCGATGAAAAAGTTCAACGCCATAGCCGCCACGTCACGTCTAGCCGGTAGGTGCATTCGCTCGCCTGAGTAGCTAAAAGTCTTTCAGGGTTTGTGGTAGCATGGGGTATATACAAATCGCACACTGCTGTTAAATTTCCTATTAATTAATGCAAGGCAGGAAATCTGTATTTTTTTTTATCGAAATGTCAATCTTGTGCGTTTGATTTATGAGGAAGATGGAGAGAGCTCGATGTTAGGTTTCCTTGACGGCCATTTTTTACTTTATATAACTTAAACTTAATCTTTACAATCGGTATCCGTTGTTCCCTCTTTGGTTAATATATCTTTTTTTTTAACTAACAATTCGTCACTTCTTTCTCACAATAGCTATTTGCATTTATAATTTTTTTTGCGGAGACAGTTTTATTTCAGTTCCTTAGTATCAGAATACGAAACACGACACCTTTCTTAATTAGAAGGTAAGCAGTAAAAGGTATGAATTTAGAAATAATCTTTTCCCGCTTTACAAAACTGAAATGTTTTGCACTGAACATTCGATGGCAGAGGATTTTTGAGAACCTCAAAGTAATCTTTTAGAAAAGTTGTTTTTTCAACTTGAAATAGTCTACAAAACAGTGGTTTATCCAACATTAAGCCTTTTTTCTTCCATGATCTAATTACTAACACTCCTTTCTAAATGCTGCAATCTTATTATAAATGATGTAGGAAAATATTGCTTTACATTAAGAAAACACAGTG